TCCCTACTAAGAACCATTAAGACTTAACAGCCTGTTGCTGCAGTTTTCAAGAGCTCTCGCCGTGCTATAGATGCCGGACTCTACCACAAACTTTGGACCTAGAACTGAAAGTGTAGCACTCCATCCCCCGCTGCCCTCTTAATAAACCCCCTCTAATGGTAGCAGCCGAACTCTGGAAGAACTTCTGGGCTAGTGTTGAAGGAGCCGCGAACAAGTTACCATCATACGGATGGATGACAAAACAGGCTTCCTGATACGTACTAGTGACTTAGCTGAAGTGTTTCAACTTAAGTTCCTTAACAGCAACCTAGGTAGCTTGTGTTCTAGCTTTTTGCTGCCTGGGTATTCTCTGGAGAGCGTTGGAGTGAGCATAAGCATAAGTTTAAGTTTGATTTGCAGGAGGGTTATTCATCGATGACTTTAGGGATCAAATCCCACACTCCCTTAAGCGCCACTAAAAGGATTGTTTTGTAGTGGAGGTATCCAGACTGTATGCAGCAGTGGGACTAGGCGACTAGGTACAGGCAGATATGTGTGTCAGCCCTAAGCCATAAACCCTAACAGCACCTTACAATTGAGAGTTGGGCGGCATGATTCCTACGTAGTCCTGAAATGTTATTCTAGTACCATACCTTGAGGACTCTTAAGAATTTGCGCAGATAGGACATCTTCACACAACAGCACTTGGCAAGAGCAATGCTGCAGTTCAAAGACGTCAAGACTTCCCCTTCAACACGCCCAGGCTGACAAATCCTAAGTCCGCAGCCCTACGCCCTATAGGGGTTTGGGATCAAGGGTTTTAGGGCTCAGGGTTAACCCCGAAACCATTAGCCCCAGTTTTTGCCTGGGCCTTTTCTTCTGAGCGAAGGTATCTCCCCGCGAAACTCATGAAACACGTGGGATTCGCAGCCTCGACCTGTTTGCTGTCCGTGAGGGTCGAAGCACCCAAATGATCAGGTTTACCTGAACCACCAAGCCCCTAAACTGGTAAACCCTAAACCCCTAAAACCC